TCTCAAACCCTGCTGCTGGTTTATCAACTAAGTTTATGTAATATACTATAAACGCTTTACTGTCACTTCAACAATGCTCACATTACCTTCACCAGGAGCAGGTTCCAAGTCACGAAATCCCCAGTACTGTGCCCTCATCACTTTCTTTGCCTCTCCATTAGAATCAATTCTTCATCCATTCAGGTTTGCACATGAGATTACAAAACTCCAGTCACATCTCAGGCTCTACTTCTAAGTTCTGTTACTGGTTCCGTCCCATCAACAGTTACTTCGTCCACTGGTCTAGAACTCTTCAAGGTCACCTATGAGGTCTGGAATCAACTTATCCCAAACACTTACTAATGCTGGTATTCTAAACTCCTCCCATGAGTCACAGATGTTCTTATTGGCACTTAAATGGTGAATCCTTTCAGAAAGTTTTCAATTTATTCTGCCCAGACCCATCAGAGGAAGCAGACTTGAAGGCCAAACCTCTGCGTTAGGAGGGAAGAAAACAACAGGAATTCTGTTGTACATTTCCATCAGAGCTCTTGGATGACCAAGTGCACTAAGAAAAGAAATCCTTTTTCTAAGTAGTAGGTCTCAACAGTGAACCTAAAATATTTAATAAACCACACTGTAGGCAGATGTGCTATCTTGAAGGCTTGTTGTTCCATTGATGGGGCACAGGCAAACTAGACTTTAGTATAATTCTTAAAGGTCCTAGGATTTTCAGAATCATAAAGGACCACTGGCTTCATCTTAAATTAACCAGCTGCATTGGCTCCTAACAAGAAAGTGACCCTGTCCTTCGAAGTCAAATACTGATTTCTCCTCTCTGGCTATTAAAGTCCTAGGTGGGATCTCCTTCCAACAAAAGGCCATTTCATCTACACTGAAAATCTGTTGTTTAATGTAGCCACCTTCATCATTGTCATAGCTAGGTCTTCTGGATAACTTGCTGAGGCATCTCTATCAGCGTCTGCTGCTTCATCTTGCATGTTTACATTATAAGGATGGCTTCTTTCATTATACATCATGAACCAACCTCTGCCAGCTTCAAACTTTTCTTTGGCAGCTTCCTCATTGCTATGGTCTGAATCAAGAGTGTCCCTTAAAAGCCCAAATGTGAAAGGCTTTTTTCCCTAAGACGGTGTTATTGGGAGGTGGCAGAAACTTTCAAGAAGGGCCTAGTGGACCCTCCAGTCACTAGGGCACAGCCTTGCAGGGGATAACAGAAATGTACTGCCACGGGCCCTTAGCAATGGAGGCTAACCAGTCATGAACTAAAACCTCCAAACTGTGAGCCAAAATAAACCTCTCCTCACTTGACTAATCTCAGGTATCAGTTACAACAGCAAAAAGCTGGCTAACGCACACAACTTTTTCAGCCTTCACAGAACTGAAGTGAGTTAGGGTCTTGCTCTGGATTAGGCTTAGATTAAGGAAATGTAGCTGGTTTGATCTTCTATCCAGGTCACTAAAACTTTCTCCACATCAGCTATTTCACCTTTTCATCTTACCTGAATTTACTGCACCAGCACGTTAAATTTCCTTTAAGAGCTTTTCCTTTGCATTTACAACTTTGTTAACTACTTGGCACAAGAGGCCTAGTTTTTCGCCCTTTCAACATGCCTTCCTTACTAAGTTTGATCATTTCTAGCTTTTGGTTTACAGTGAGAGATGTGTGACCCTTCCTTGCACTTGAGCACTCAGAGGCCACTGAAAGGTTATTATGTGGCCTGATTTATTATTGTGTCTCAGGGAATAAGGAGACCCAAGGAGAGGGACAGATGCAGGGGAATGGCCATTTGGTCGCACAGCCAGACACACACTTATGATTAAGTAAGTTCACTCTCACATGGGCATCGTTCATGATCCTCTTAAACAATTACTATAGTAATATCAGAGATCACTGATCATGGATCATGATGAACAGATATAATCATAATGAAGAAGTTTGGAAGATTGTGAGAATTACCATAATATAACCAGTTACAAAAACACGAAGTGAGCACATGCTGTTGGAAAAATGGTGCTGATGCTTTCTCAACCTAAAGTTGCTCCCTTTCAATTTGTAAAAAGTGTAAAAACTACAAAGAGCAATAAAACAATGTATGCTACATTTTTACTACATATATTTGTATATTTCACACCAGTTTAAGTTATAAGTTAGAAGACGGTAAGAGCAGGTTCTACTTTGAAGCTTTGAAATTATATGTGTTGTTCCTATAAGTTGTACAGTGGACCCTCAAGTTACGACTAGCCTGGCCTATGAACAACTTGGGTTACAACCAGAATTTTAGTTTTAATTTATAACCAAAGTCTTGAGTTATGACTCAAATGAAGCCGCTTGTGCTTCCAGGTGGTCTCAGATATAGATTTAACCCTTACAAAGTTCTGGAAGGAACATTACAACATCCTTTCCTGTGTGGGGTTAACTGAGAAATCCTGACCCAATGTCTCTTTAAGGATACTGAGATCTGTCCAGAAGAAAATGTCGCCTAAAATTATACAGGAGAGAGACTTTGAAGGCTGTGTAGAGGACCCTGAGCCTTCAATTGACCAACTTGAGTTACAACCAGCCCTCGCAAACAAATTGAGTTCGTAACCCAAGGGTCCACTGTATTTAAAATTGTATTTGCTGTTTCTTGATGCACAATCACCTCACCAGGTTTTACTGTGGTTGTGTACAGAAACCAGAAAATGAACATAAGTGATGAAATGAAAGAAAACCCCCAATTATTCACTAAGTAATACTGTACCTGCATAAGCTGTTGGGAAGCAGAAGAAAAAAACTTCAGTTTTATCAGAAAGTTTTACTTTTCTAGACCCCACTAATTATGGCTTCTTAGCTGGCAGTTTATCATCAAATTCCTAACACTATCACAGGATATACTAATCATGAAAATTAATGACATTACTAATCCCTTAAATTTTTTGAATAAAAATTTTGAATTTTGTGTATCACTTGGTCTTTCATGGTAAAATAGATTAGTTATCAAGTTTCAGATGCAGGTTTCATTCTTTTAAAAAATTAAACCGTAATCATTACTAGGTAAATATTACATCTGATTTTAAAAGCAAAGTCTAAAATAAAGTACTTAATTACTCTTAATATACTAAATCTTCATGTTAGGCTAGAAGTTTTTATCATTTCTATTTTCCACAAGAAAATTTCTATATGCAGTTTCTTCCAGGCTCTCATACTTACAGATTGAAAACCTTTTATAATCAAACACGTTAGAGATCAAATGACCCTTGCCACAGAATCACAGTTGTTAGAGGGCTGCTCATCAGTCAACCCACCACAGCATTCTGTTCCACCAAATGAGCTACTGAAGGCCCCACTTGGAGGGCTGCTAATCACCATGGCAACTTCAAATCCCTGGTCATTGCAAACAGAGAAACTCTGAGCTGGGAGTTGAGACACCAAAATTGGGATATCTGACTTTTGCTATTAACCTGGTGGCTGATTCTCTGAGACTTTGGACAATTCACTTATCCTATGACTCCACTTCCTAATTTAAAATGGAGAAAATAAGACAGTCCTGCCCCATCTCACTATTATAGTAGAAGATAATATGTAAATAAAGAATTCAAAGCTCTGAAAAGAATTCTGTGTGTGTGCATGTGTGGTACTGGGGACTGAACCCAACCTTTTGCATGTGCTAGGCAAGCACCATGAGCTATATTCCCACTGAGCTACATCTCAAGCCCTTTTTAAATTTTATTTTGAGACAGGGTTTCTTGCTTCAGCCTTCCAAGTAGACAGAATTACAGGTGTGTGTCTCCACACCCAGCTGTTAAGAATTTTTCAATGTAAAAAACTATTATAAATATTTATAGTGTTCTGGGACTATATTATTAATGGACTCAAATGATCCAAAGTTCAGATAACTTCTTACATATGGAACAATCATAGAACATTTTGCTTGCTGATAAGAATAAATCAGTCAGATACAAACAGTATGGTTTTGAGTTTTTATTAGATATCTAGAACACCGTAAATATCTAATAATTGGTAAAGTGAGACTACTTTCATTATTAATTCCAAAGAAAGACAAATATATATAAAATGCAGGGGTGTTTACACAGAATGTACCATATAACTAGACACCAAGCTATTTTTTAGAAATATGATGTAATGAAATTACTATTTCCCTCCTCCTCTCTTGAAAAACCTAAAAGTAACCTGAGGAAGGAAAACTAGAATCCTGATTTTTAGAAAAACTAGGAGACAAACCACAAAATGAGTATAAAGACTGCCCAAAAATAATGAAGATGAAATAAGAATGCAAGTAGTTGGCAGCAAAGAGAAAATACTATAGCTACAGATATCAGAAAGAACAAAATATACTCCCTGAAAGTGCTGGGTCCACACAAAGGTATAAACTCCTGGTTTATATCAATAGAAACAAGGTACAAGAGCTGACCACAAAAGTTCCCAAGAAGCGATTTGGTTCTAAGAAGTAGGGGAGACAGTGCTGAAAAGGAATCTCATAAACTATATTTACACAGAGAAATTTATCTCCATGGCTATGGGAGACAGGAAATTTTATATGATGGAAATCTCCAAAGTGTCTATCTCCATTTCCAGGTGGGCAAAAAAAAAGAGAAAAGAAATAATCAAGTAGTTAGAACATTCACAGAAAAATACTGATGAAAATCATGATATGCACTGCACCATTAATAAAATATAACTATGCAATCAACTCTTATAAGAATATATACAATCATAAAACTGTATTGACTAAGAAAGGCATGGTGGCACACACCTGGAATCCCAGCCACTCAGGAGACTGAAGGAGAATCACAAGTTCAAGGCCAGCCTAGACAATTTAGTAAAATCCTACCTCAAGCTAATTAATTAATTAATAAGGCTAGGGCTGTAGCTCAGTGGTAGAGCATCTGCCTAGCATGTGAAAGGCTGTAGGTGCAATTCCCAGCATGACAAATAAGAAAAAGAAAACAAAATTATTGACTAGAACAATCTCAAAGTAGTATAATCAGTCACTTACCTCTGACTCATATTTCATTTTTTCTTCTTTTAAAATACACGCAAATTCGTTTTTCTGGTGTTCAAATTCTGACTTAAGAAATGTATGCTCATAGCGAAGCTTATTATATTCAGCTCTATGCTTTTCAACTTCCTGTATTAAAAGGAGATTGCAAGTCATGGCAAATTTATATGTAAAATTTGTACTCACTTTAAAAATCACTTTTACAAATATAATTTTAAATTATAATAAGAGCCATTTTAAAAGCAAATATATATATTTAACAGAACAAATAAAACTTGGAAAAGTCCTTTTAAATATCCTACATGCAGAATTAGTATACTCCTGAGAAGGCACCAATAAAGCAAATTACCATTCAGTTAATGTTATTTCTTCACTGATTCTCATTAGAATAAAAATGTATAGTACGACAAAAGTTTTACCTCTGGAATAATAAATAATAGTTAAGAATGTAACAAACTTCAAAATACAGCTAGATTTTTAAAGTATAATAAAGTATAAGATACCCCTCTAAAAGAAAGATTTTATCAAAGTAGATAAAAGATTATTTAAATATTTAGTACAGTAACCTAGTGTTCCCTCAAATTTTACATCAATGGTACAAGCCTACACACTAGCTGAATACTCATAAACATAATGCCATCTTTCCTGGGTCCCAGTGGGATCAGCCCTGCATCCTTACAATCTACAAAACTATTCTGAATATTCAACAAGAAACTTAGGCAACAGAGAAGAAAGATTCAGGAAACATTATTTCAACAAATATCAGAAAACTAGGTAGTAAGGAAAGCATGTCTCCTAAAATATTCAGTTCTCTGTAAATCTTTAGTTGAAAGACTTCTACGCCAGTCTATACACCAAGAACATTGGTTTCATGATGTTATTAGAGATATATTTTGTTTTGAATTTTAAAGCATGCTTTTACTTAACTTGATCACCTACTTTGGGCCTGAGTAAATTTACTTCCAAAAATTAAATCTACTCTAAAACCATGACACTTTAACACTAGGAGCATATTTAGAAGATCACAGTATCAAGCAAGTAAGCCATTATGAAAGAAGATTCCATAACTGTCTTGTGTAAATGGCAGTATCAGACTATGACCTCCCAAAGGGGTCTATTTTGAAGGGGACAATAATCATCTGTATGTACAGGTCTGGTATGTTTGTTTTAAAAGGCAACATATAAAATGTCTGGCACAGTACCTAATCTATTTCTTTGCAGTCTTTGCCAGTCCCCTTTATTAAACATTTATATTATATCAACACTTCATAAAATGATGTCTTATCTTGAAGTAAAACTAACAAATATTTTCCTGACATTGCCTGAAACTCATTCTTTCATTCAACAAATATTAACCGGGCACTACAGTATGTCAAGAACTATTCTAGAAACTTTGAATGTAACAGTGAACAAACAGATAAAGATTATTTCATTCATGCAACTTCCATTCCAGAAGTGCTAAAAAAGAAAAGCATAAGAAATAAGTAAATAACACGGCACATTAGAAGACGATACATACTAGAGCAATGGTGGCAAACCTATGGCACGCATGCCGCAGCAGGCATACAGAGCTCAGCCAAGCATCAGATAACAGTTGTTTTTCTAAACTAAAACTTCAGTATTCAGGTTTAATTGCAGAGTTGGCACTTGGTGATAAATAAGTGGGTTTTGGGTTGCAGTTTGGGCACTCGTCTCTAAAAGGTTCACCATAACTATACTAGAGGGTAAATGAAAAATAGAGCAAGATAAGGGGGAAACCAAAGGTTTAAGTAGTGATGAGAAAAGCAGATTGCAATATCAGAAAGAGAAATAGGAGGGGGCAATCAAAGTGGGCCTCAGTGAGAAAGTAATATTTTAGGTTATGACTTCCAAGAGATGAAACAGCCAAGAGATGTCTACATGAAGAATATTCAAGGAAGAAATAATGCTGATAAAGCAAAGGCTCTTATTTCTGGAGTGCCAAAGAAACATCAGTAGAATGCAGGTGGATGAAAGGAAGTCAGAGAGGTAATGGAGTCCAACACTGTGAAACCTTGGAGACTACTATAAGGAATCAGTAAAGAGGGAGCCCCTGCAGAGGTTCTGAGTAAAGGAAAGACTTTCAAAGCCACATGACAGCAAACAAACAGTTCTACATAATTACTTACTTCATCCAGATTCCGAAGACGCTCTCGCATTGGAGTTTCTAACTCTTCTTGTATCTGGGCTTTTAACAATTCCAATTTTTGCGGAGTTAATACCTTACATGTAGAGAAATACAAACAATTCCAAATACAAAATCATATATACGGAAATAAAGGATTCTCCAAATTTCAAAGCCTCTTTCCTAATTATGACAATGAAATACAATTCATAGAAGTTTCCACAATATAGCTAAATTTACTCTAATTACTATTTAAATAGGAGTATAGTTTGAAACAATACTTTAAGAATCTCAGTTTCTGGTTCTTAGGGATATGAAAAAGTCTATTAACATGAGGTAAAGACAATCACTAATTTTTACTATAACTATTAAGAATATATTGTCAGCTAAGACTATCACGGTGAGGAAAATGGCTGGTGGCCTAGCTATTTTCTAAAACAAGCAAAGGTGCAATAATTTGTTATACCAAAGAGAAGTCTTCAGACTTATTTTCATCAGAAAAGGCTGACTGTTTCTCAGACCATCAAAATTAATTTAGGCTCCTCACTGTCACATACTCTTACAGAACTCATATTTCCATAAGTAATTAAGTATTTATGTAAGCGCCATATGGCCAGACACAGTTGTCTTTGTCACTGTATTCCCAACATCTCCCACCACAGCCAGCCACACAGAAACCACTCAATTATTACTTCATGAATGAATAAACAAATAAATGAACAAATACTGGTTGTTAAAAAAAATAGTTATTCACGTATTCAATATTCCATATATTTTATTCAAAATAGTACTAACAATTTCACTGAAAATCTACTAAATATAAGGCATTTTACAATGTACTATAATCTATATGTTCTAGGCAATTCACATGCATTTATTTATTTAATCCCCATTGTTATGGCTTCTATCTAGATGTCCCCTAAAGCTTCATGCGGACATAGGTGGGGCTTTCTGGCGTTGGCTGAATCTAGGGTATGTGATGCTAGGATCAAGAATATGACACTGGGATTGATTCATAGTTTGATGCTAGGAATAAAGGTGTGAGTGCTACACACCCTAAGGATGGATATCCAGGACAAAATATAAGAGACAGAATGAGGGTTGTTGCTTGTTGCTTGTTGCTTGCTACTTCATTGCTTTGCTGCCTTCTGCCTGTCGTGGACCATTTCTCCTCTGTGATGACCCTCTACCATGTCACCATGCCCTGGAGCCAGCTACCTATGGACTGAAACCTCTACAAACTGTGAGCTACAATAAACCTTTGCTCCTTTACTTTGGGTGTTGGGTATTTTGTCTCAGCAACAAGAACAGTGACTAAGACCCCCATGATAATCCTATAATGTAGCTACATGGAAGCAAACACCTAAATAACTTTCTAAAGATCACAAAGACTACATGAAATACATATCATTCCATAAGAAGTTTAAACTGTGGTATGAGAAATAACTCATACATAAATAACTATAAAGTAGTTAATGTAAGTGTTCTGAATAGGTAGAAATGAACAGGAAAGACATTTTGGATAGAAAGAATGATGCACCAAAGGAATGGGGTTCATTGATTCTTTGCGATTCATTGATTCTTTGTGTTGTTTTCCTAGTCTCAGTTGCATTAATGTCTGCTCTAATATTTATAAATTCCTCCCTTGCAAGAGCCTTGGGCTTGACTTGGTCTTCTTTTTCTAGAAGCTTGAAGTTCGACATTAGGTTATTTATTTGAGCTTATTTTGATTTTCTGATGTGGGAATTTATCACTCACTATAAATTCCCCTCATAGGACTGCTTTCATTCCATCCCATAAGTTTCAGTGTGTTGTATTGGCATTGTCTTGTAATTGGAGAAACTGTCTGATTTCTTCATTAATTTCATTTGTGACACACTGGTTGTTCTAGAGGGTGTTATTTAATATCCATGTTTATGAAGTTTTTGTGGTTTCTTTTGCCATTGATTTCCAATTTCACTGCATTATGGTCTGGTGATATGCATGGGATAATTTCAGTTCCTTTGCATTTACTTAAGCATGTTCTATGAGCCCTTATGTTGTCTATTTTGGAGAATGTCCTGTGTTCAGCTGAAAAGAATGTGTATTCTGATGTTGTGGGGTGGAACACTCTGTAGACATCTACGAAGTCCATTTGTTCAACAATTTGGTTGAGTTCTGATATTTCTTTGTTGACTTTTAGTCTAGTTGATCTATTTGTGACAGGGAGGTATTGAGGTCTCCCAATGCAATTGTATTGGTGCTTATTTGATTTTCCATGTCTGTTAATATTTGTTTTATACAGTTGAATGTGCTGATATTTAGTGCATATATATTTATGATTGTTATCTCTGCCTTTTCCATTGTTCCCTTAACAAGGATGTAGTGACCTTGTTTCTCTTGATCAATCTTGGCTTAAAATTCATATTGTTTGCAAATGGTATAGCTATCCCTGCTTTTTTTTTCCAGGTTTCTGTCACATGGTACTGTTTTCCATCCTTTGATATTCAATCTATCAATCTCTTTTTGAGTGAAATGTGTTTTTTGTATGCACCACATTGTTGGATCTTGTTTCTTGATCCATTCTGCCAGTCTCTCTCTTTTTTTTTTTTTTTGGTACTGGGGATCAAACTCAGGATCTTGCAGTTGCAAGGCAGGCGCTGGAACCACTGAGCTAAATCCCCGACCCCAGTCTGTTTCTTTTGATTGGTCAATTAAGGCCATTTACATTGATGGTTATAACTGATATGTATTGACTTATCCCTATCATATTATTTTCCTGTTGGTGGTTCCCTTTCTTTACCTTCTGTTTAATTACTTGCCTTGCCTGGTGAATTTGTTCTGTTGAGGTTTGTAGAGTTGTAGTGTATTTCTTTCTAGAATGTCCTTCAGAACATTTTGGAGTACTGGTTTGGTGCTCATGAATTTCTTTAGGTGTATTTTTCTCGTGGAAATATCTTATTTCTCCATCAATTTTGAAAAGATAGTTTTGCAGAGTACATCAATGTTGGTTGAAGGTTGTTTTCTCTTAGAGCTTGAAATACTTCACTCCAAGCTCTCCTTGACTTAAGGGTGTGTAGTTAGCAGTCTGTTGTAATTCTGATGGGCTTTCCTTTGTAAGTGGTTTGTTTCTTTTCTCTAATAGCTTTTAATATTCTGTTCCTGTGTTGCTTTCTGGAGTTCTATTACATGCCTTGGGACAGATTTTTTTAGTATGGTTAATTGGAGTTCTATATGCCTCATTTATCTGTATGTCAAATTCTTTTTCCATGCTTCGAACGTTTTCTGCGATTACTTCTGTGAACAGGTATTTTTATGCCATTTGTACTATCTCCTGATTTTTCATTGATTCCAATCAATTTCATGTTATTCTTCTTTGCATCATTTGGCAGCTGTTAGATTGATTTTTTGTGCTCCCTTGCTATTTTAAAGAAATCTTTCCTTTCATGATCACTAATCACAATCCTGTCTTCTAGATCTGATATTCTGTCCTCACACTGGTTCATTCTCCTGCACATACTTTCAATAGAATTTTTAATCTCCTGGATAAATCTGGATCTGTTCCATGGATTCCCTATCTTTCCTATGTTGGGCATTCGTGGTTTCTAACATTTTCCTAAGCTCCTCTTTTTTAAAACATCTGTATCTGCTCTAGATTCACTAAGCTACCTGAGAAATTATTTCTGATTTTATTTTTTTCTAGAGCCTCGTTTGCTTTGTTAGTTCAGCTGTTACCACTTCAGAGAGTGCAGGTGGGTGGTTTTCGAATGGTTCTATCTCATTGCTCCCTAGGTTTGTCTCTGGTGAGCTGGAAGTCTCAGGTTGCATCTTACTTCCATGTCTTTTCATTTTCTTTTTTTTAATTTAATTCCTCCACTGATGCTTGTAAATTGTTTATGGCAGGTATCTTTATTGCTAGTATTAAGAACCCTTAGGAAATGACTACTTCTCAGCAATATCTACCAGGTGTAGCTGGCTTTGGGGTTTTGAGTCTACTACAAGATCCTACCTCTGGAATTTATTAGGGATGAGAAATTGCTGCTTCTTTGGCCCAGCCCCTGGTTCTTTGACACTGGCCTGTATTATTTTTTATGATTCTCAGGCAATCTCAGTTTTGGCATAGAAGAAGAAAAACTGATTAAAACAATTATGTCACCATAGCTAAAGCGGTACAATCAATAATAACAATAGCACCAAACACACCCTAAAAAATGACAAACTATGGTAACTATTAAGTCAAGCCACCTTTAACTACATGAACAGGATTTGTAGTTATATAACCAAATCTAAAGCAAACCAGAAAATTGTGTGCAGTAAATATTCCCTCAATATGGCGATTTTACCATCAGGAGAGAAAAGGCCCTACCTATGATGGCATGAAGATTTGAGGGGAGATCTAGACCTAAGCCATAACATTCTGTCACTGGGCTCCCAAAGGCTCCGTGCATCCCTTTATGTAGACAGCACTTAGTTCACCTCCCAGAATTGCCAAAGTCCCAACTGTTTCAGCCTTACTGAAGACTCCAAGTCTAAAATCTCCTCTGAGATTTAAGGCAAACTCTTAGCAGCAAGCCCCTGTACAAATGAAAAGAAAGTTAAACACTTCCAACATTCAGTGGCACAAGACAGACATTTCCATTCCAAAAGTTACAAAGAGGGGTAATAGAGAGGAATGGGACCAAAGCAAGTCCAAAACCCAGCAGGGCAAACATTGATTCCTGTAGTTCCACGTCCAACATCCAAGGCATTTTGTGGTAAGATGTGAACTCCAAAAAGCTTGAGTGACTCCATCCCTAGCACTGCTGGTGGCTGTAGCTCCCACAGCTTCTCTCTTGGGTCAGCTCTACTCCCTCCTTGTAGTTTTCCTCAGACGATCCATGTTCCTGGCTTCTCCAACCTTCTGGGGTCTCCACTGCACCTTCCGCTTCACACTCACAGCTTCACACACTGCCCTCTCTGGGGCACACAGCCTGGCCTCCCAGGCCTTCTTCTGAAATCTGGGTGGAAGCCTTCTTGACCTCACAACTTGCATTTTGCATGCACCTAAAACCAGCACGATGTAGATGACTCCAAGGTCTGCTGCCAGCTGGAACAGTAGCCAGGCTTCTTTCTCTCTTGGCTGTAGGCATTGAGTGCCTGGATTGTTGAGCACTCTGAACCCAATTCCAAATTTAGGCTACCACAATTCTAGAACATGGTGCTCTGCGGCTTTCTTCTCAAAGCAAAGTCTTTCACCTTTGCAACTCTGAGGCTGTAAAGGCTGGAATCCTGCTGGTTCTTGTGAGGTCCTCAAGCCATCTTTACTCTTGTGTTCTTCTGAAATATTTGGCTTTTTCTTGCTAGTCTTTTCAGTGACCAATTTCTCTTCCGTTGTATCTCTGCAGACCGCAGCTTTACTGGAGTTTCCCTTCTGGCCAAACTCACAACCTTAGGAATCATTCCGCTGGGTTCTTTGTTCTGCCCAGAATGTCCCATCAAGTATAGCCTAAAGCTTCCCAGGGCTTCTTTTTTGGCCTGCATCTCTGAACCTTTCCAAACTCTTCCCACAAGCCAGTACTGAAGGCTCCTGAATCACATGGTCAGGTACAGTCACAGCAATGACCCCACCCATCTGATGCCAAATTCTGTCTTAGTTATTTTTTCTTGTTGCTGAGACAAAATACCCAACACCTAAAGTTAAGGGAAGAAAGGTCTATGTAGCTCACAGTTTGGCAGAGGGGCATCGCAGAGGAGAAAAAGTTCAGGGCAGGCAGAAGGCAGAAGTCATAAGCAGCAAGTCTGAGCAACCTTAGCAGCTTCTTTCTGTCCCTTTTGTATTCTATCTAGGCTTACCACGCTTAGGGTGGGTGCCAAACCAATCTGGACTGATTTAGTAATCACACACCCTTAATCTCAGCATCACACACTCTACATCCAGCCACCTCTAAAAAAGCCCCACCTAGAGTGTAGACTGGTGCAAGCACTGTGGAAATCAGTATGGAGATACCTCAAAGAACTAGGACTGGAAGTCCCATTTGACCCCACTATTCCACTGCTGGGGATCTTCCCCAAAGAATTAAAAGAATCACACCACAGTGATATATGTGCACCCATGTTCATAGCAGCACAGTTTGTAATAGCTAAAACTTGGAAACAGCCCAAATGCCCATCAACTGGAGACTGGATAAAGAAAATGTGGGTTTTTTATAAAATGGAGTACTACTCAGCCATAAAAAATGAGAAATTAGAGACATTTATAGCTAAGTGGATGCACATTGAGGCCATACTCTTAAGTGAAATAAATAGGACACACATGTGTAAATACCGAATAGTTTCTCTGGTGTGAGAAACTGAAAGTGTAAATAAGGACTAAATGCATAATAGGTAATGTGAAATAGAAAGAAAAGGGGCAAAGGGGAAGGAAGTGGGAGGGCTAGGGGAAAGGATAGAAGGGAATGGGATTAATATGAGAAAATGGAAAAATAGGAACAAAATCTTTGTAAATAGGGAGAAATGGAGGGGTTGAAGGGAGGGCTGGGCAAGGGTGATAAATAAGAACCAAGAGAGACTATGTAAAGGTGCAAATTTCCAATGATGAATGTCATTATATTGTATACCTAAAATGTACCAATGATTAGAATGAATAATCGATAATGGAAAATAGGAAGAAAAGGTCCAAAGGGGTAGGGGTAGTGGGAGGGGCAGGGGAAAGGAAAGAAGGGGAAGGAAAAATGATGAGAAATGGAAAAAATGGAAATAAAGTCTTTGTAAATAGGGAAGGGTGGAGGGGGTGAAGGGAGGGCTAGGAATGGGGAAAAAATAAGAACCAAGATGCATTATGTAAAGGTACAATTCCCAATGAGAAATGTAATTGTGTTGTATACCTACAATGTACCAATAAAAGAATTTAATACAAAAAATAATAATAATAAAAAAATAAATAAAAAGCCCCACCTACAACTGAATGAGGTTTTTTTGTTTGGGGGCGGGGGGATCTAGACACAAGCCATAACAGCCTCCTTCCATCTTTACAACTATCTTGTGAACTAGGCACTAGTATTCCCACTCACTATTGTTGAAATATTCTGTAAATAAATGTATTTTATATCTTTTTTTCTATAAAAGCCAAAGGGGTTTTAAATCTTAGACAATGCATTTTTTGCAGTTAGATAAAATACATGTGTATTTTAAAAATAATCATCTTTCATAAACCTTCACTGGAATGTCTTCCTAATCTTTTTCTTTTTTTTTGGTTTTTTTTTTTCCTTCAATGAACACCTCATTTTGAAATTGTCTTCCTAATCTTATAGTTGAATTTACTGAGCCTTTCTTAACTTACAATTTGTATAAATTGCAAACATCCATTAAAGCAAATAGCTAAACTGCTTTATCTTTATATATGTATACATGATGTTTGTTCAACTTCTTTTTGCCAGATAAATATCACATAGAAACAAGATAAATTTATCTTGAAAAACAAAGATTTTTTACTGGGTAAATTACCTTATCAGCAAGCATTTGGGAATATATCATGGAGGAACATGTAAAGTTCTTTTGTGTGGCTCCAAGGAACAACATAAGAATTAACAGGGATGACAATAATTCCTTTAAACAGGAGACATAAAATGCTTAACATACTGCAATCCATAAACAGAAATGGGCTACTTTTAAAACATTCACTACATAGCCAGATGCAGTGGTGTACACCTATTATCCCAGCTACTCAGGAGGCTGAGGCAAGGAGATCAAAAAGTTTGAGGCCAGCTTGGGCAACACAGTGAAATCCTGTTTCAAAAACAAACAGAAATTCATGAGAGTTTCTCTATCACTGAAGCAGAGAAAGAAGGGTCCTGTGTCAAAAATGTTCTAGAAAGAAATTTTGATTTGGATAGTATATTAGTTTTCTAGGCCTGCTCTAAGAAAATACCAGAAATTAAGTGTCTAAAAAAAAGCAGAAATTTTATTGTCCCATAGTTCTAGGGGCTACAAGCCTGAAATTAAGATATTAGCAAGTTTAGGCTCCCTATGAAACCCACAAAGACTGCTTCCTTGTCCTTTCCTTTTTGCTGGGGCTGTGCTAGCACACAGCTGCCTGTGTCATCACAGAGCATTTCTCTGCCCCAGGTTCTCTCCATCTCCTCTTATCTCTTCTTTTTTAACACCAGTCAAATTGGTTTAAAGGCATACCGCTTTCCAGCATGATCTCAGCAACAACTAGTTACATGTGCAATTACCTATTTCCAAATAAGATCACACTAGGGGGTACTGGGGATTACGACTTGGACATATCTCCGTAACAGATAAAAAAATAAAACTAGTTGATTAGCAACTCTAAGATACTGAGGTTCTACGCATGTATGACATAGGAAGTTCAACATGATATACAAACAGAACAACAAACTCATTGTTCATTCCATTCATTCATGTCATTCTTTCAACAAATACATATCTACTAGGCACTGTCCCAAACAATGGAAAAACACTGAAGTTTCTGCCCTTATGGAGCCTGAATTCAAGTTGAATAAAAAATGGTATCATTTTTGAGTATCTATTGTGTGCCAAGTTCTACAGTAAAATATACATATTATCTCACTAGTTCTCACAACAATACATTTAGAAATTTTTATCCTCTTTACCAAATGAGAAAACTAAGGCATAGTGACAGTGATGTGTTGAAGGTCATCATCTTCTTGATGAATTGACCCTGTTTCATTAGAAAATGTCCTTTTTATATTTGATGAATTCACTATTATCTCTGATGTTAATATGGCCACTTCAGCTTTCTTAAATTAATTCCTGTACGTGCTTGGCACAAATAAACATGGTTTAGATATTATTTTCAAGAAAGAATTATTTATTTGTAATGCCTAAAAATATCTCAAATACCTGAAGTTCAGCAATCACTGCTTCCATTCATATAGGTCTCTCAATTTTTACAAAACAAATTAAGCCACTGACTCTACAAGATTAAATTCATATTTCCCTCTTCAACTCACATTCCTGAGATTTTGTTTGTTTGTTTAAATGTCCCAAAGAACCTAGAAATGAACAGTGTAGTAGAGGCACCAAACCAGGCTTAATGGAGCTCCCAACAATGGAAAACTTCAATAAGATACTGAATGACAAACTTCTAAGGCTGCTGTCAAAGGGAATCTATAAGTTACGTGATATACCAGACTAAGTAAATTGGAAAATGCTTCTTACGCTACAAACTTAGAACTCCAGTATTAATGTCACATTATTGGCACCAAGCATATTCCAGATAGTGCTATTCAGAATCTAGGTGAATATAGGAAAATATCATTCATTAATACTGACTAATTTGAAAGTTATCATCAGTTTGACTGGAGTTGAAGGTTAGCCTAGATCTACTATCCAAGCAAATGAAAACCAGTGTGATAGTATCTAACGAAACAGTAGTTTAGTACTTTCATCAAAACTATTTTTTGCTTTAGAAACCCATTTACAGTGTGTACATAAATCATGTGTACATACTGTTTTTACAGTTTCTTTTAAGAAGCAATTTAAAAATAACTACCAATCTTTTTTAGCATATTTTCAGTTGTAAAACATATATAAAAATTAGTTGGTCATGGTTCCACATGACTATAATCCCAGTACTTGTGAGGCTGAGGCAGGATGATCGCCTGGAGTTCAAGGCTAGCCTGGGCTACAGAATGAGTTCAAAGACAACCTGAACTACATAGTGAGACCCTGTCTCAAAAGACAAAAAAAAAAAAAAAATTCTTTAATTCTGAATCATACTAAAGTTCAACTGGTCTTTCCCCTAATTATTCTGAGTGGTAAAATATTTAAGTCAGAGCAGATAATATAATGCCAATTTACATAAATATAATAGTTTCATGGCCACCATACATAGAATATATGAAAGATTAAATTATATCAACTGAAGATACTGCAAAATAATCATTAAAGATAATTTAAACTATTTAGTTTCACTATTTTTACACAAACTCAAATATATCTTCTCACCTGCAGTTTCATTTCTTCCAAGTCTTTAGTTTTCGCTACTAATTCCCCTCTTAGCTCTTCAAGCAGCAGCTGGAACTTTTCCTGGTTAGTTTGTTTTTCATTTGACAGGCGCGTCAGTTCATTTTGTGACTTTATGTACTCATCCTGCAACCTGAATTTTTAAAGAAAATTCAATTCGAAGTGTTGCCTTTGCTTTGTAATTGTATTACTTTATGTAAAGTCAACCAATGCTGCAGAAAAACAAGACTGCTATCACACATTCCATTAAACTTGTAAATATCTTTACAGAGTTCCATACTGTAGTTTCTGAAAGCAGTTTTACTTTGAGGGGAAAAACATGTTCAGCCAACTGGATGTATTAGATTCACTTGATATCACAGCTTTGAAACAAAGAAATTTTAAAGCAACAATTTTACTTATTAAAAGTATTAATACACTGTAAAATAACAAAGTTGTACTCTATGTTCCAGAGTAAACATTTAGCCTAGACAGCTCCATTAACTTTATATAACAACCCACCTCCTTTGCCTCACCTCTAATTTAAGTAACTTACCTTGTGTGTTCCACTTTTAGAGTCTGATAATTGGTTTTATGATGTTCACATCGTAACCTTTCATCAATTAACATTTTTGGAACTCAGATTGAGAACTTGGCCCACCATCTTCACCAGGTGGAAAAATGTTAGGATAAGTCTCCATATTGGTAAGTAAGCTGAAAACCATGTAAAATTAGTTATGGCTTCCTAATGTTTTCGTTTTCTTTTCAGGAGTATTTCCCACTTCTTTCTTGTTAAGACAGACACTCAGGAGGCCAAGTTATACCTGCACAGGGAAATATACTTAATTAGTGATCCACGAATTTTAAGCTTCCACTGGTGCCCCATATTTTTATCACTTATTATTCTCTATCAATTTATAATAAAGCCCAGTTTGCAGATTTTTTTAACTGCTCATAAAACAAAATCCAAAAATAAATTAGAATCACACCTTTAATATTTTCCTCCATACAGATTCTGTGACCATCAAGATTACAACTACAAGCACTAACCTAACTACATCAGAAGTATGGACTTTTCAGTTAAGTACTCCTGGATACACAAGCCAGAGTCAGCTACTGTAATCTTCAAGGGTGGATCCCAATATAAAAACGCACACTCTTCAATCACAGAAAAGCCATTTTGAGTTTGTTAAGTGGCTGGAGAATCACTGTCTTCACAAACATGACTGTCAGCATGTACTGTCTGTGATTAATGCTACAGAGGGATTTTTATTTGACACAAAGAAAACTGCACTCAGGCTGCAGATTCAAATGAGAAATCAATCAACATGTAAGTACTGATCACATCCTATATGTGATGTATAGTGCTAAGAACAGGAAACTAAATCACTTCACCTATCCCCAAAAGCACTAACCCAATATTATGATGGTGTTATGGCCTGTGTCTCTATGTCCTCCCAAAGCCTCATGCAGTCATGGGACAGAGTTTTGAAGATGGCTGGATTAGGGTGTGATACCGGATTAAGGGTGTGGATCATGAAGTCCCACCCTGGGTGTGGGTAGCACCAATCAATAGATTTGTATCCTGGATGGAATATAAAGGGAGAGAGGGAAACAGGCTTGCTTCTGCTTGCTGCTTCTCCGTCTCATGTCTGCTTTGTCATGGACTATTTCTCTGCGATGCCCCTCTGCCATGCCATCCTGCCTTAGAGCCAGCCCACTGTGGTCTGAAACCTCTACAAACTGTGATCTGAAATAAACCTTTCCTCCTCTAACTTCGGGTGTCCAGTATATTGTCTCAGCAACAAGTAACTAAGACAAATGGTAACTAAACAGTTACTGCAGCTAGAAGAAAAAAAATGGTGAAAGTGTTCTTTTTATAAATAAGATCTAAAATTTTAAAGTACTTCTGTCCTTTTTTTTCCTGATGGTATTCTCCCTTAGTCGTGGGGTATCATGAATTAATTTTTCATATGACAAGAAAAGATATTTGGCTTATACAAATCACCCATTAAATTATTCAGTATGGTTGAAATACATCACCTCTGCTAAGTTAGTATGATGTCTACATATTACATAAGAAACTTTTAAAATTGAGATAGTTGCCGGGTATGGTGGCACATGCCTGTAATCCCAGAACTTGGGAGGCTGAGGCAGGAGGATTGCCTTCAAGGTCAGCCTGGGCTACATACTGAGACCCTGTCTCAAAAAAAAAAAAAAAAAAAAGCTACAAAACTGAGATTGTTTCAGTTTTCTGTGATTAGGGTGAAAGGAGATGAGGGTGTGGCAAAGATGGCTGGGAAGTAGGCGTGACCTGTTAACTACAAGATCCCAGATACATACACAGAACAGTTACCAAAGCCCTGCACTTGGGCTTCTCTCAGAACTCAAGCAAGTTTTCAACAGGATGCCTAGACCTGAAGTCAGTCTAACCCACGGGATCCCAACACTACCTCTCAGGATCCGTATGTAGAAGTTCTCGAGGATTTCCTAGAGATTTGGACAGCATAAAAGGTCACAGACGCCAAGAAGAGCTTGCTCTCGGGCTTTCGTCAGGATAGCCCACTCTGCTTTTTCCAGGGTGATCTCTTATCTTGCTTTTTCCTCTATTCCTAGGCCTAAGCTTGCTCTCCAGAGCCAGTTTCTCCCTCACTCTTCACTTTTACTTTCTTGAATAAACTTGGCCACTACTTTTTGCTTGCTTCATTCAATTCTTTGTTTGAGAGGAGAAGAACCTGGAATCTAACTCCAGAAGGAGAAGCGAGCAACCCAGAATCTGATAACATTTAATTGGCGAGCCACTTTTAGGAGCTACTTGATAACATTTTGGCATAGCAAGGAGATTCCAATAACAAAACTACTCATCAATAAAAAAGGAAACATCCGTTGAGAACACTTTACTCTTTGTTCTTATTTTAAACATGCACTAGGATTCAACATTTGTACTGTATGCAAAATTATCCTCTCAAGAATATACATTTTGCCAGGCATGGTGGCGCTCACACGCCTATAGTCCCAGCACTCAGAAGGCTGAGGCTAGAGGATCACCTTGAGTTCGAGGCCAGCTGGGCTACATAGTGAGCTCAAGGCCAGCCTGAACTACAAAGCAAGACCCTGTTCTCAAAAAAAAAAAAAAGACACATTTGTAGCCAAGTGTGGCGGCACATATCTATGATCTCAGCACTCTAAGAGACTAAGGCAGGAGGATCAAAGTTCGAGCCTCACCTGTGCAAATTTAGCAAGATTTTTGTCTCAAAATTTTAAAAAAGGCTGGGACATAGCTCACTACAAAGTCCCTGGGTTCAATCCCCAGTACCACAAAAAAAAGAAAAAAAGCCATGGAACTAAGAACTGGATCATAAAACTGGCATATGCTTTTGATTCTGCTCTTTGATTCAAATTAACTTCTAAGAAATAGAAACATACGGTAAACCCATTTCACACTTTTCAGTGATACCAACAAAAAGCATTACAGGGTTTTCATTTTAATTAGCTGAAAGCCTAAAGTATATTAGGAAAATTAAAAACTGCTGTTTCTTTCCACAAACAGCAAAAGATTTCAGAGTTGACATGAATATTTTTTTATTCTAGTTAAATAATGTATACAGTAAATTTCCCACTGACTTCTACTTCAAACTGAGAATTAAGTTTTCTTTGGAAGTAAAATTCATTAAAACAAGTATTTTGGGAAAATAAAATTTAATAATTATTTCTTTCCTTTTTGGCACCGAAATCTACAGAAGTACCTTCCAAGACTTTACGAAATTCAAGATATCCCTTTCTCAATCCATCACCAACTTCACCTCCAATTCTAGTTCCTATGAAACGTGTTTAGCCCCCTCTAAAATTCATATATTAAAGACATTAATTCTCAACATTATAGTATTAGACTTCGGGCCTTTGGTAGATAATTAGGTTAGCTGAGATCTTGAGAGTGGAGTCCCCGAGGCAGGATGAGGGTCCTTATGCAAAGAAAAAGAAACTACAGAGCTTGCTTTCTTCACCATGCAAAAACTGTAAACCATGAATTCACTCAACACCAAATGTATGACACTCTGATCTTTGACTTCACCTAGAACTATGGAAAATAAATTCCTGTTCTTCAGTCACTCAGTCTATGCTATCTGGTTTAGCTTCTCAAACAGGCTAAGAAAAGTATTATTTTTTCCCATGCTAAGAGAATCTCTCTCCAGTTCAGAGACAATGGTGACAATCTCAACTGCCCTTTTATATGCTAATTTTGGTGACTACTAAAGCTAGAATATCCTATGACACGTTACTAATGGATACCACACACAAAACACATGTTATACTACTTTGTACTGAAAATCAAAATTCACACTGTTAATTTGTACACATGCATACAAAACAAGACAATTCTTTCTAGAAAGTTACCTGTATCAAAATGATAAATCTGCTTACTCCCTGTAGCAATTGTAGAATTTATTCTACAAAAACAGCTCAAGAAGTGTGCAAGATAATTACATGAGTCTTTACATTTTAATAATAAATGAAAAATCAGAAATAACCTAAATGTCCTTGAATAAAGTGCAATAATATGAATTGCAAAGGCCACAGTGGATCTGCCCTCACAGTATAACAGATTATGAATAATATAAATGCTTATGTTTACATATACACAAAGAGTCAAATAATATACACTAAGCTAATAATAGTGGTAAATTCTAGAAAAGCAATAATGGAGTACCAACAGAACATATACCTTGTAGTTTCAACATTTTGTTGTTAAATTTTCTTTTTAATAATCAAACACTTCAGATAATCAAATCAGCACATTCTCAAGATAATCTCATTTTCATTTTGTGTACCTAACACAATTGTACAATAAACAATTTGGCTATTACCCCGTATTCAAACTATATCAAATTCACCATCCTTATTTTCAATCTACCTTCAATCTGACTCCCAAATCTTAGTATTACTAACAATATTATGCTACAATTCATTCATACTTACAACCTCAAAGCTTTCTCAGCTTGCTCAAATTTCCCATAGGAACACCAATACACTTCCTTCATTTGTGTTTGTTTGTTTCCTGCAGTACTGGCAATTGGACACGGCCTTCACTGAGCTCCTTTTCCAGGTCTTTTTATTTTGAGACATGGTTTCCATGAGCCACTAAGTTGCCCAAGTTGGGCTCCAACTTACAATTTCCTGTCAGTGTCCCAGAATGCTGGGTCACAGGCATACACCACTGTGCCCACCTAATACTCTTCCTTTAAAATTCGCCCTACTCTCTTCATTTCTACTTACCACAAAAGTTGAGTTCTTATTACTTCATAAGCGGACAATTATTAGAGATTTATGTTTGTGTACAATATTTTTCTTTCTTGGCAACCCCACAACCTATTGCCAGATTAATATTCAACAAATATTATTTGACTTCTCACTCAAAATCTCTGTGCCAATTAATCTTAACCATCAACTTGACTGAATTAAGAGGCCTGGAGAGCTGATCAGATCCTGGGGTTTTGGAATGTACCATTTGGAGGTTGGGAGGTAGAGGTATATCTACATTAGTACTGTACATACACAAAAGCACTCTATTTGCCATATTTTATATCTGCTGGTGGGCTTCCCCTGTGTTCTGCTTCCCCACTGTCATGAATAGCTCTGCTCCACCACATTCTTCCACCATGTTTCTGTCTTGAAGCATGCCAAGCATGGACTAAATCCCACGAATCTCTGAGCCAAATTAAACTTTTTCTCCTTTAAGTTGCAGTGTTGGGTACTTTGTCCCAGGAACAGGAGAGCTAACTAATCCAACCTCCTATATGAAAGAAAGTCAAAACATTCCA